GGAAGATCTCGCTGGGGGGGGGGTTGCATTCTCTGTGCCACCTTGCAGAGACCCGCGGGGGTGGTGGAAACCAACATCTGGAGCAGAGATTGCCAAGGGTCGGGAAGACAGATGGGGTGTAGGGAGGGGACTGGAGGGGGGAAGACACCTCCCCCCCACACGTTTGCTAACCACCGCTGGGCCAGGTGTGTGCTGTTCACGGCGGTGGTGCTGAAGTGGCTCTCCGCGGCCTCTCTTCCTCCCCCAAGGAAGCGGAGGGGAGGTGGGATCCCGCAAGGATGGGAGCAGTACCACCACCCCCTATAGATGGTGGTGGCAGTACCCCCTGCAAGCCGGGCCCGGCCGTGACACCCAGCCGCTGTCCGTGCCGTTTAACATCAGGATTTGGTCCTCCAGCCTGCTGTCTGGCGTTCTCCCTGCCGCCCCCTCCCCATTCCGGCGTTTGATCTCTTGACAGGGCCTGCTTGGGCTCGGCTGATGGCCACTGCCCTGTTTATCCGGGACCTGCCTGCAGTACAGATTGATAAAACGAGGCTGGCTTTCAATCGCCGCCTCCCCCATTCTAGATTTTAGGCCCCCCCCCCCCGTTTTAATTCAGTAAGAGAGCCTTTAGCTTCGGATCGCCTATTGCAAATTAAACTGGGTGCGTCGGTGGGGAGAAAGCGGCGGCGGGCTGCAGAAGGAGGGTTAGGGTGCATGCGTGTTTCTTTCCGTGTCAATTACACATGACCGGGCCGGAACCGTGTCAATTTCAAGGCACAGCCAGAGGCGTTGCTGATCTCCGTTCGGGAGCCATTTTTCTTCTGGGCGCCGTGATCGACCGTTTCTGTAATGCTTGGTGACGTTGATGGGGGGGGATCTCATGAGGTGTGTGCAAAAGGAGGAGGGAGGGTAGAGAGAGAAATGCGTGGGGCAGCTGTGGCGATACACAGGTGTTCCGTAGCCCTTTTGTACAAACACGCGGGCACGCGCGCGCGCACACCCTTAGAAGGGAGTTGCCGTGTGAATAAACAAGCTGTCCGTACAGGTTTTTACCTGGCCTCGAAAGACGGGCTGGTTGCAACCCCTGGGGAAGGGATGCGACCAGCAAGAGGCTATAGTCGAGCGTGTGCTTATGTGGCTCAGGGGTTCAAACGGCGTGGGGCGGGGGGAGGCTGGAATCCCGGGGCGTGCGCTGCTTTTGATTGAGAGAGGAGCTGTCCTTGATAATCCGGTGCGCGTGTAAGGAATCGGGACCGGCTTTGGTTTGCAAAAAAGGCAACAGCTATTTGCTCCTATTCAGACACTGAGAGAGAGCCTCTCCCGCCCAGTGGATGGCTCGCGCGTTGTCAAGGGAGAGAGGGTCGCTGATATTTTCGGGGAAGGGAGGGAATTATTATTTGCAAAACGGCAACGCCCCAGGAGCCTCATCTCTGCCCCCCCTCCTTGCATGGAACAGATTCCGTGCGTGTGATTGACGCCCCTCGCCCACCCACCCCCTTCGCCGAAGGTGTTAGGTAAAGGTTGGTTTCAGGCGCTGCGAGTGGTGGACAGCGCCCAGCAGCGACGCGGAAGAAGTGATTGGCTCTTGGGGAGATCGGCAAAGCTCGGCTCGGCTGTTGTCGGGTGCGGAGCTCGGCTCGTCTTCGGATGCTTTCCGTTGTGAAAGCTGGAGGCTTCGGCAAGAGCCGGAAAGGCTCGGCCCCGGTCGGCAATCCGATTATCCCTTCTTCAGCCTACGCACAAACACGTGTTTTGTTTTTTAAATGTATTTACATATGGCAGGGTGGTAATCCTTACTGAAAGCGGGGCCAAAAATCTAAATGAAGCACATTTCCTGAGCCTTTCAGCAACATCCCCATCCCCAACCCACAAGGGTGTTGTGAGGATAAAATAAATTATACATCTGGATGTATTCTGACCCATCTTGAATTCAGGTGAAAGCTACTGAAAAATTTAATAAGTTTAATATTGTAATCACACATAATCCTATACTGAGTTTTAACAGTGTTTCTGCATTCTCCAGTGAAGCACATGTAATTTAAAGCATGCATTGCATGATCAATAATTTAAAACCATTTATTTTTAAATGTTCAGGATACTCTGCCCTAACAACTCAGCGCGATAGATCATTTCATTATCCAAGCATTAAGAAATCCTCAATTGGTACTGAGAAGACACGCAAAGAGAAACAGTTGCTATAGGTGTTTTAGGGAGAAAAGATATTTATCTTTTAAAGAATTATGCATCTTAAACATTATGAACACACGAAACTGCCATTTATTTATTTATACCCTGCATTTCTCCCCAATGGGGATCCAAAGGGGCTTACAACATTGCTCTTCCCTCCTCCCTTCTTCTCCTGACAACAACAGCCCTGTGAGGTAGTGAAGCCCAAGAGGGAGCGACTGGCCCAGGTCAGCCAGGGAGCATCCATGACATAGTCAGGATTCCAACCTGGATTTCCCAGCTCCTCGTCCAACACACTAACCTCTATGCTGCACTGCCTCGTTACCAAGTCAGGCCATGGATCCGTCCAGTTAAGCAGCGTCTCCTCTGGCTGGCATTAGTTCTCTGAGGTAGATAGAGAAAGATATTTCCTTATCTCCTGGTACCCGAGATCTTTTTAACTGGAGGTGGCACAGATTGAATCTGAGAATTTCTGCATGCAGAACTGATTCTCAACCACTGAACTGAGTTGACAAGGTCTGAGAGTTGTGGTGTAATCCTAAAAAGAGTTGTACCCTTCCAAGTCCATTAAAATCAATGGGCATTAAAGGGTGTAACTCTGCTCAGGACTGCACTGATAATCCCCCCCCCCCCCAATCATGGTGGTTAGCATCCTTGGCAGTATTTTATTCCTCTGCCTAGATCTACACACTCGTACACACCCCTGTGCCACATCCAGGACGCTCAAAGAACGGGTCACAGGCTGCATGTGATGATTTCTTAGGAACATCCCTGCATCTAGCTGGCACATCGGTTGTACACACAGAGAGTGACTATTGTTATGAATGAGCAGACGTGCCAGGCATTGGCCCTAAAGACCCACAGCCTCCTTGCCTTTGAAAACTCAAAACAAACAGTGCAACTGTTTGTTGTGTGCTGACGTCGTAGCTGTATTTTTAACTTGTTGTTTAAAAGCCACTTGAGGAAATCTGTCATAAAAATACACTTTCCCCCCCCTTTTTGCACTTTAACTTTGCTGGTATCCAAGAGCAAAATAAAACAGAGGTCCAGCAGCACATTTCAAGACATTTTATTCCAGTGTGAGCTTTCATTAAGTCAGTGCTCACTTCTTCAGATGCAGTATTTTGAGCTGTCTTTTAAAAAACTTTGCCCCTGGCTTGGTGGGTAGGGCACAAGCCTTTGCATGCTTCTGTCTAGGCATCTCCAATTAAAGGATCTCAGAAAGACCCTTTCCTACCCGAGACCCTGGACAGCCGCTGCCAGTTAGTTGACCAATGGGCTGATATAAGGCAGCTTCAAATGTTCCTATGAACTCCCCCTTCCATCCTTCCATCTGCAGCCAGTGGTAAACTGGACCCTGTAGCCATCAGGGACTTGTGATTGACGCTTATCAATCAATCAATCTAATTTATTGCGGCAGGAGACAGTAAAACAGTACAATTCTCAGAGGTCATTTCGGGGGGAACGCAGTTCCCCCGGGTGAGGTGCAGGGGGGCGGGGCACATGACGAAGCCCCGCCCCCTGCTTCCGGCCACCCCGCTTCCAGCCCTCATTCAGCCAGGAGGAGGCAGGAGAAGAGGGAGGGTAAGTTGCTTCCTCCCCACCTTTCCTCACCCCTGCCTGCCTAAGGGCTAAATCTAGACAGAAGGGGTAGTATAAGATGGTCTCGTTCCTCCTGATAAAATCTGCAGAACAGGAGGACATAAGTAATTGATTCCACCATATTAGCCATGCATGGGCATATACGTTCATGCATTGGGACTCGAGTGAATTTACCTTGCAGTACAGCGGAAGGGAGTGCCTCAAAACGGGCTCTGGAAAAGGTCCATCTATAGGGTTGATTGACGCTTATGCTGTTCCCTAATCCCAGTGGAGCTCCGAGTCACACAGTGGAAAACCCAGAGTCTTGAGTGATCTGTAAATAATCTGCTAGGCAAAGCATTTTGTACCATGCCCTCCCTGGTTTTGAGGCACACGAGTGCCCCAGTATAATATCATTCAGAAAATGCTCAGAAGGAAGGCTTTACTTAGGCCCTTTCTAGCCCACCAGAACTAGTACTCCAAGCAATTTATGGCTATTAAAAAAAAGTTGAAATAATTTAACAGCAAGGGAGAGTCATGCAGAAGTAGGAAGTCATGCTCACAGCCATTGAACATCGTGATGCACTGATGGACCCAGATGCAAATCTGGGCCTTTGATGCATTGGTCTCATGCTCTTCCTCATCTGTGGCCTCAGGTTGTACATGACTAGACCTCTGCCGAGGGGTGTTGTTGTTAAAGTTATGGCTTGATACTGTTGACACCGAACCCAAGCAGATGCTCTATCACTGAGCTACAGCTCCTCCCCAATAAAACAATCCTGGTGAGTCACATGATGCTGCCTTGTACTGAATCAGACCCTTGGTCCATCAAAGTCAGTATCGTTTGCTTAGACTGGCAGCAGCTCTCCAGGGTCTCAGTCAGAGATCTTTCACATCGCCCACTGCCTAGTCCTTTATTAACTGGAGATGCTGAGGGTTCTACTTGGGACCTTCTGCATGCAAAGCAGAGACTCTTCCGCTGAGCCACAGCCCCTCCCTTCCTCCCT